AGAAAAGATGTGAGTAATCTTTGGTGTGCTCTCATGCAAATCCTTAGTCTCTGGAGCACATGGCCATAAAGACAGTTTTAACATTTTAAAATAATTTTTGAGATTATAATTACATCATTTAAACATATCTTTCCTGTATCCATGCCCAAATGTGTCAGTCATTCCAGGCTGGGCCTTGACTGGTCAGTGAGAAGGAAAAAGAGACCGGGGAATGAGTGTCCTAATGCAGCCCAGGCTTTTATTGGGTCATGGCAATACAGAAGCACTTTTGTAAGAATGGGAATTCACTGTCCACACATTACAAGTTATTACGATCACAGTACAGAAAGAGGCAGGAAGGAGCTTGGAAGTTTTCCAGTTATGTCTGCAGTTCAGATCACGAGTGTATAATCAGTTAATCAATTATAGGTGATGTATGAATGTCCTCAGTGGCCATTTCTTGGCTCCAAAAGATCAAGTTTCTTGGCCAAAAGATTGACCTTTCTCTATTGAAATGTTAGGTCTGCACCCAGGACAGAGATACTATTCTCTTGAACAAGAGCCTTTTACTCTTAACAGGCTTTCCTTATCACCTTAAACATTCCTCCTTCCTAAGGCCCCCAGAATCACTTAGCATCAGAGATCAGAGCTCTCAAAACTCTTTGGCATCTTTGGCCTCTGGCAAGGATGAAACTGCTAAGAGTCCTAGTGTTACTTCTGGCTTTTAGTCAAGAAAGCAACTGGTTACTTTTCTTTGAGGTCTTTTTACCCTAAACTGCCTAGTCAATTTCTACCTCCAGTTCTTATCCCACCTCCCTTTGAAGAGGTAACCCTAACTGCCATTATATGATTGGGGCGATGAACAATCTGATCTGACTTTTTCCAGTTGAATTGGGGGTATCAAGTGACAGTATTGGGATACCCTTCCACAGGGCCTCTCATAAAGACTGAACTCTCAGATACAGACAAAAAAGGAATTCCCCCAAAAAAAGAAAAAAAAAATGCTTTGCCGGGCGGTGGTGGTGCACGCCTTTAATCCCAGCACTCGGGAGGCAGAGCCAGGCGGATCTCTGTGAGTTCGAGGCCAGCCTGGTCTCCAAAGCGAGTTCCAGGAAAGGCGCAAAGCTACACAGAGAAACCCTGTCTCGAAAAACCAAAAAAAGAAAAAAAAAAAAAAAAAGGAATTCCCTTACTGATGTCGGGAAAGGACTGAAATGTCCAAAGTCCATAAGACATTCTTGATGGGCTCATAATAGTCCCCATCTATTAGAAGTTTCCCTTTGACTTCTACAGTTGGTCACCAGAGTGATGAATCCACAATTAACTTTTACACCCTTTCATAGCTGTTTCATCAGCCAAAAGTCAGCATGATGCCTTTCCCATGTGTCTTCTGGATAGGGAGAGAAGATAATCATGGGCCTATCTTCCTTGGCTGTGGGCAGTTGCTCAGTGAGCCAAGGTGCGGTGATACTTTATGTATGCTCTAACAAATAAAGCTTGCCTGAAAATCAGAAAGCAAAACCAGCCACTAGTTAGGCATAGTGGCCAAACAGTGGTGGCACACACCTTTAATCCCAGCACTTAGGATTTTACGCCTTTGCTCACAGTACTTGGGAGGCACACACCTTTAATCCCAGCATGGGGGGGGGGGGGTGAGGATTGAAACAGAAAGTGATATGGCTGGGTGGAGAAAAGAAATATAAGGAAGTAGGAGACAGGAACTCAGTCTTTTTCAGGCTGAGGATTCAGTAGAGGTAAGAACTCTATTGGCTAGCTCTTCTGCTTTCTGACCTTTCAGCTTTCACCCTGATATCTGACTCTAGGTTTTTATTATTAAGACCAGTTAGAATTTATGCTACACTAAGGTCCTATGGCTCACATTTACATAGTATCTTTTTGTAAAGAAGAAAATATTAGTGAGATTGGTTGTCTAAATAACATCTCATGTGGCCTTATGTCTGATTTCTGTCGGAGTGTGATCCCATGGGTTGTTACCAATTCTCTTAGTCTTTAGTTAAACGTTCCTGCTGATGATGAAGACCATGCTGGTGGCTAAAATTAATCTTTCTTTTTGTGCTGTCAAGGCCAGTGCAGCAACTAGTCCTTAGGGGTCACTTGGTTTTTAGAGGAACCTCAGACTCTTCTAACCTTTCTTTTACCAGTTGTCCATCAATGTGAGGTTAAGTCAAAGGCTTTGCTTTATGTACTGTGGCTTCTTTTGAAGTCTTGAGGAAATCTTCCCCACATTGACCCTCCTTTTGTAGACTGGACAGTGTTTCAAATTCATTGAGTGGGGTCTCCATGGCCTCCATTTCAAGACAAGTGATCAATGGCCTTAGTCCCCAGCTAGAGACCTCATTAACCTCATAGGGAAAGGGGAGAAATACTCTCTGTTTTAGTCTCTCTAACCACATTAGAATTGCCTCCAAGAATGGTTATGAAACACCCAGATCATTTTACACCAGTTTGGTAATTTCACCTACTATATGCTATTTCAATAGCCAGACATAACTCAATACACTTTTGTTTGACATATATTTTAGCCAGTCCTTGAAACAGCTGTTATCTGACCTTGCCAACTTTAATATGTGATCAACAACAATATGTGATCTCTACATCTCATCCTTTATGTACCTGAGTCAACTTAGTCAGTCCTTCATAACTTCCAAAAACTTTCTAGTCTTTTTTTATTCTGTAGCTGTCCAGTCATTATCAAGTTCATTTATCTAAGTCCTTCTTTACAAAGATCATTTCCATATTTACATTCTTCTAACATGTTCTTTTATGTATCACTTCCTTTTTCTAATACCATGAGACATAGGAATATTAAGAAATAAATTTATGATCTGTTGTGAGAAGTTTCTCCCCAGTGGAAGGGGACAAGGCAATATCTATCCCATCCCCATAAGTCCCAATGACAATGCAAAGTATAATTTGACCAAGTCCACCCTGGGGAACCAATGAGTTTTACTAAGCTTACTTACTGAACGTGGTGGAGGAGATACTTACAGGAGTTTGGATACTGTGGTAGTTGAAGTTAAAATGATCCACATAGCCCCATTAGGAGGTGTGGATTTGTGTGAGTATGGCCTTTTTGCAGGAAGTATGTCACAGTCATTTTCTGCTGCCCGATGATCTGGATGTAGAACTCTCAGCTCTTTCTCCAACACGATGTTTGTCTGCATGTAACTATGCTCCATGCCCTGATGATAATAGACTAAGCTCTCTGAAACTGTAAGCCAGCCCTGATGAAATGTTGTCCTTTATAGGAGTTGCTGTAGTCATGGTGTCTCTTCACAGCAATAGAAACTATAACTAAGACAAATAGCCAAAAGCAGCCACACAGGCATGTCTCCACCTAGTATGTACAATGGCTCTCCCATAGTTGCAGATGTGGAGCTCACCTTCTCTCTATACTTCCACTACCTATATACTTATCATTACACTACATTTCTCAGTGTACATAGATGGTAAGTCTGATGTTACTCAAGGTAAATTTCCACTTTTACAATGACTTTATCATGGCTGCATATGCAGGATCCACCTCCTCACAAGTCTTTCCCAGGCTATGTACTCTAGCTCCTCCCCAAAACCACAAGGCCACATGTCATTAGGGCTGAGTTGGAAAAGAGGCTGTATACTCAGAAGGAGGGGATTTCTCCTTCTATGATGGAATACCAACAGTCAGCAAACCTGGTGGTGATCATCCTTTGTAAGCAGGCACAGCTGATCATCGGAAAGGTGCAATTGCTTGTCTTAATATAGTGCTGAGCATTAAGAATTAAATAAAAGAAAGTTGAATAGAAACTGTATATAAGATAATATAATAAATTAATATTTCCTAGGTACAACCTGTTAAAGTAAACCTTAGAGAAGACCCAAGACAGTCTTAATATAGTGTATGGAATCACTACTATAACCATGCTTTAGGATTTTAATGGGTGTATGTAGAGGATACAGAGAAACAACAAATACATAACAAAACATCATCAAATTGATGTGTATAGCATCTAGTACAACACAACTAAGAAATCCCTCTTAAAACTATGATGCCCCAGCTTACTATAGAAAGAATTTTGCACAGGGGGTCTCTCTATCCTCTTTGTGGATGAGCATCCCATTAGCTGTTTTTACCACAGACATGTGACCAATAACAGTATACATAAAAGGTGAACAAATATTTACATCCTAACATCCTAATATCTAACAGGCCTGGTTAACATACTCTTTATCTGTGGGGTATTTTAGAGGCAGTCCTCCCTTAGCTAAATTCTACTTTGCAAGATTTACTACCTCCTAATCATTGGTAAATCCTTTATATCAACAATTCTATTCTTCTACATCACAGCTTAGTAGTGGAGTGCTACCCAGTACATGAGAGGCCATTTATAACCTCCACAAAATTAACTCCAAATGGATCTTACACCTAAATTTAAATGCAAAGTGCTGAATTTCTAGATCATCCTTGAGAAACGGGCTTGTTGAGTTTGGCAATCTGCCTAGGCCTTGGTAGTTTTCTCTAAGGCCCTGGTGGAAAGAGAGCTTCTTCTCTCAAATCAGGAATCTGCTTGGGAGAGTTGGTGGAGGTCTGTGGCCAGGGCGTTTGGTTCAGATCCTGAGAACTCAACTCTTTCCACACATGGGGCTGTGGTTATCAGTCCTAATGCCATTGTGGACTTTGTTTTTAATTTTCTTGAGTTATGCTGTGTTCCTCTTGTGCAAAGTTGTCTGATTAGCATCCCTCCGAATTTGCATACTTCCTTTTAAAATTGAACCCATTGGTTTATATTAACAAGAGACTTGCTGTTAAATTGGGCACAAATCTCCAGCCAATCTGGGACAGACAAGTCTGTGCCTTACTGTGGAAGCCAGGGCTGGGAATCCCTGTGCTTTGCTCATGCCACTCACCGGTCCTGTCACTCAGGCTTCACTAGCCAATCAGAGCTCCCAGTGGACCCGCCCGTCAGATGGGAGGGTTCTTCCGGGTGCCAGGCTCTAGTGGTCGGCGGAGGAAGTCGGAAGCTGGCTTGTGTATGTCGCTGTGTGCTCCGTTTTAGGGAAAGCGTGGGTGAGCTCTGCAGCCATGCCATGGTGAGCGACAGGTAGCTGTCCCCAGAGGAGGAGTGACCGGCCATGGTGAGCGTGGGTGCATTATCTCCAGACTCGGTGGAGGCCGGTGGTGTTAGTCCATCCTTGGCTGGGTAGGAGTGAGTGGCCAGTTTGACTTGTTCCTGCTAGTCCTGTGTGGTTCTTGCAACTGCCCAGGCTTGGGCGGCAGCCTCTGAATAACTTCACTCCGTGGGCTGCATCTGCGAAGAGCTTTGGGAATGGGACTGTACTTGGAAATATCCTTTTGTTGACATCACTGTGAAATGTTGGCGCCTGTAGAACTCGTATTGTTACCATGGAAGGCAGATTTGCCAAACTCAGAGAGCCCTGATCTATCTAGTATCGTACAGAAGTTCTACACTTTTTTTTTTTTTTTTTTTTTTTTTGGTTCACTTTTAACGTTCAACATTTAGGTTTGGGATCTGTCTTCAGTTAATTTTGTGGCGGTTGTAAATGATATCACACGTGTATATAGCACTCCAGTGCTAAACTGTGATGTAGACAAGTAGAATTGATGGTATAAGGAGTTACCAATTCTTAGGAGACATTAAGTCATACAAACTAGAATTTAGGTAAGGGAGGACTGCCTCCCAAATACCCCAAAGATGAGTGGTATGCAAACCATGCCTGTTAGAGATTAGTATGGTAAGATGTAAATGTTTGTTCGCCAGGATTAACATTAAACTCCATTGCCAAAACAAAGGAGACAACCCTGACTTACAACTACTGGAAAGCGCCCCCATCAAAGAAAAAGCCTCTAACATGCTGCTCAAGGGGCCATTAGAGGGTTACAACAAACATGTAGTCCTGGTGTGCCAGAAAGATATATTAATTCTAGAACAGCTGCGTCTCCAGCCTTTTGAAAAGTAGTTTTGAGTCAGGGTTTCCTATGTTGATTGAGGTGGACTTGAACCCTGTCTCTTAGCCCTACAGGGCATTCATTGCCCTTGCTATCCCCCTGACTAACCACCCTAAATTCTTGGATTACAGGTTTGTAGCACCAAATAGTTGAAATATTTAAGTTGAGTCACATAGTGGATTGTCCATTGCATTAAAAGGAAAAGGATTTGTTTGGGGCATGGCTTCTCCCTTCAGACCAGAAGAGGAGGAACAGTGTACTGTGTACACTGCAGGGGAATCAGACTAGACAATAGCCAGATCATAGACTGAAGTTTAAGGCAGTGAGCTGCAGGGGTCTCCATTATAAAGGACCTGCTGGGGCAGGGTGAGTGACTGTCTGTATAATTTCCCAGTGTCTATTAATTCCTTCTATGTGAGTGGAGACAGACAGAGTTGGTGGGTGTACAATTTAGGGAGGGTAGCTACTGAGTATTCAGCTTTCAGTTAAGGAAATTTCCTATGCAGATATGTGCAGTTAACTGTGTGGTTGACACAGTTATGTCAGCTCAGAGGTTTGAGACCCTGGCCATTGGCTGTAAATCAGTGTCAGCTTACAGCACCCAGCAGCTAACATTTTACAGTGGACAAAGTCATACAATGTCTTATTAATGGCATTCTCTCTACTAGAGAAATGCCTGTTCTGTTTCAAAGTCAGTATAACTAAGTGTTCTTGTAATTATGTTTATCACTTTAAAAAGTCAATTATTGGTATCATTTTTTAAAGTTCATTTTCTTTAAATGCATTACTGCTCTAATCTTTATTTGTTTCTATTTTCCAATGTTTCCTGGCCATGAAGAATTTCATTACAGTTTTTTCTTAAGTGCTATTTGTTTATTTTTATTTATTTATTTATATCAGTTTAGAGCAGTAGTTCTCAACCTGTGGGATTGTGACTCCCTTTGGGGGATCAAATGATGCTATCATAGGAGTGGCCTAAGAACATTGGAAAACACAGATATTTATATTACAACTCATAACAGTCACAAAATTGTAGTTATGAAGTAGCAGTGATAATTTTATAGTTGGGGGGGGTGTCACCACAACCTAAGGAAATGTATTAAAGGGTCACGGCATTAAGAAGGTTGAGAACCACTAATTTAGATCAATGTCTCCTGTAGCTCAGGCTTGCCTCACACTATGCAGTTGAGCATTGCTTTGAATGTTTAATCCTGCCTCTGCTGCCCAAGGATGGGAAGACAGTCCTGCAATTCCTTCCAGGATGGGCCTTGACTGGTCTGTGAGAAGGAAAAATATACCAGTTAATGAGTGTCCTCCAATCTCTCAGGTTTTTATTGGGATTTACAGATGAAGAGGGAACTGTGTAAGAATTGAGTTCACTGACCAGCTGTAAAGCAGGTGTAGTCACAGCACAGAAAGGGAGGGTCAAGAAGAAACTTTTCCTGCTATGACAGTAGTTGATATTAGCAATGAATAGTGAGGTAATCAATCTTAGATGATATGTAAGTGTCCTGACTGGCCAATTCTTGGGTTCACAGACCAGACAATGAAGAATATGGACAAAGAATTGAACTTTCACAAAACCAAATTACTGTAGTCACATTAGTTGAACCAAAATAGAAGAAGTGTATAAAATGGTGTGGCCCTATCTAACATGACTGTATTTTCCAGGTTTAAGATGTACAACCTGAAATAGATGCCGTGAATAGTACTTGGTGTGTGCTAATAGAAATCCCTCATCTCTGGAGCATGTGGGCGTAAAGCCTGTTTCAACTTTTGAGCATAATTTTTTAGGATTATAATTTCATCATTTTCAGTATCTCTTTCTTGCCTCTAAGCCCTCCCATAGACCCTTCACTGTTTTCTAATTCATGGCCTCTTTTTGCTTTAACAACAGTTACTGTTTGAATGTGATCTGTGTTTGGCTGTAGATCCTCCCAGCTATGAAGCAAAGGGTTGGCTGCATGGGACATTGAGTGTATAATGGAATGTGCACACAAAGGACCCTGTGCCTTGGAAGAGGAACAGGAAGTGCTCTGGGAATGGAAGATTCTATTAAACTACAAATTTCCCAGACTAGGGCCTTGTCTGACCGTAGCTAGGGTGGAAGCCAGAGCTGGGAAGGCTTGTGCTGCCAGTTATTTATCTAATGTTGATCTCTGCTTACCCAGTGGGGGAGCTGCAAATGTCCTGAGGCCCAGCTTGCTAGTCCTAGCTAATGAGGGACTCTGGAAGGTTGAGTAATCAGGAGCACCAATGGGAGGTAGTTTACAGCTTCTTTCTAGGATTCTTCTCTGGTTCTTCTGTAAAGAGCTATAAGGAAGACCACAAGCCATGCCATGGTGAGTGAGGGGGCCACTGTCCCCAGACCAGGAAGAGCAAGTTGGCTGAGCTTTCAGAATCCAAGCTGCTGGGATTGGATGGACTGTGAACTAGATAGTGGGTCTTTTGGTCCCTGTAGTGACGTGGGCAATGGCCCTTGGCCTCTGAGCCTCAGTGAGTATGGATCCCCTGGGTAGGGGGAGGCTCTGCTGCCCTGGCATGGGAGGCTATGCTGCTTGTAATATCACTGTCCAGCGTGCACACAGAGGCATTGTTGTTGGTGTGCAGTGAGAAGCGAGATTGGAAAACTGAAGGTCTGGTTTCTGGAAGTTCTGAGCATTGCATTCCACATTCAGGTTTGTCTTATAAATGTTACAGATAGTTTAGAAAATGGTAGAAATGAGGTGATGGGGATCACCCCTCAGCAATACATAATGGGGATGCTTTTACCTTTCTGCTACTGCCAGCCACCATGGTGAGAATCAGGGAAGTTCAGTTCAGGGTACAAAAGGTGTTTCTGAGCTCTGGAGGTATCTCAGGTTAGCATGGTGTTAAGCAGGTGGATAGGGCAGACTCCACATCTTCTGCTATAATTCATGTGGCAGGAAGTAGATCTTAAGTTATTTTTCTACTTTGTGTTTTGATTGGGCGTGATTAGGGCTGGGTTTGCCTGAAACCACAAGGGAGCATGAGTGGCTGTAGAGCCATAGTAGGCTCTGCAGGGAATTACCTCCATTTGCAGAGAGAGTTCTAGAGTATGGAGCCTCTCTGGAAGAAATATCAGTAGCTGAAGGGTCAGAAACAAAACAGTTTAAGGGTTAAGGGTCTCTTTGAGTTAATTTTGTGGGAGTTGTAAAGTCTGTGTTTATTTAATTTCTATACACATAGATACACATTGGTCAAGATCAAACTTTTCCTGGGTAAGTTTCCTTTGGTCTTTTGATTACAAGTTAACTATATATTCCTGCTTTTGTTCTTGGCCTTTTCTCTCTGTCTCCTTTATTCTTTCACAAATATTGTACATATTCTTGATTATTGTAGATTTGGTGCTAAATATAGCACAGTCACATTGTGTCAGTCTGTGTCCTATTTTTTAATAATCCCATTGAGCCTTCTGAGTATTTCCACTTTCATGTAGATTTAGAATCAGCTTTTCTGTTATAAATGGTTGGGCACTTTTGCCTGATTGTATTAAATTTTTGGTGCAAATTGACCATATACAACATCTTAATATTGACACATCCTATTCCCCAGGATCATTTATTTACTTATTTATTTATTTAGGTTTTGTTGTTGTTGTTAAACTGTGAAAGAGTTTTAATTTATTGAATAAAAAGTACTATGAGGCTTGGTAGGTTGCTCAGTGCATGTTCTTCTTAGGGATGACTTCAGATCTCAGCATCCAAGTTGGGAGATTCATAACCACCTGCTTCTCCAGGTCCAGAGGATCTGATACCCTCTTTTCTGGTGTGTCACCTGTACACACATGGAATACGTTCATTTGAACACATAAAAATACACATAAAAATGGGGATAAATTTGTTTTCAAAAGTGCTTGTATCTTATAAAGCAGTTACAGTATGCTTTGGGTATAATACAAGCCATGCAATGTTTCCTTGAAAATCTGTTATCTTGTATTTGGTTTGGAGAAGTTTTCCTTTCCTCACACTGATGCAGACTTACATCTAATCATTCATCATAGAAAAGTGATCCTAACTTTCCTGAGCAAGAAGGTAGATATGTGTCATTAGTGTAACAAAAGTTATATTTTATTATGCTGGTGGTCATCACACTAGATTCATACTCTAAATTCCAAACTAAGATCTAAGGCTGTATCCCAAAGGCT